AAATTCTAGTTCGTATTGAAAACAAAACCGAATAATTTACATTAATTACAATAATATGATTTTACAAAACCGATCAGAGCAAATCTTGTTCAAATTTTTATTTACATGCCAACTACTTCATTATACAAAATACATACAATTCAATATTCTTTTCTGATCTGATCTTCGGAAAGGAGAAGCCGGCCTGTCTTAACCCTCTTTGCTCTTTAACCTTCTCGAACGTACGTGTGAAACATTCACATGCTAAGTCGATGACTTAGTGAGACATAACATATAATGGAAACTCTAAATACTTAACAATTCATAAATACTTCATACTATTATATCACACAAAACTATAGAATATTCATATAATCAATTGTAGACATACCCATATCTCGTCATTATCATCATTAACCAATTTCATATCATACAAAATCATGTACTTTCTTGTAGCAAATACATACCTGCACATGTCTCATCAATATAATCATAATCATTCAATCATCAATATTATTATCCTTAATCCATCTTATTATCAAATTTTGTACTTAATATTTATACACATCATTTACTACATTTCACACATCAAAACACATAATATCACACAAGGCTTCTTATGTTATATCTTTTATTTTCCCATGATACACTTGTGAGAACTAAAGATATATGAGTGCATTGAGGTTGTGCACAAATGTTGTCACCACAGCTCGTAATTTGCACAGAAGTGCACATAATTATCCTGAAGGACCACATAGATTTGCACCAAAGTGCCACATAGGTTTGCATTGAAGTGCCGCATAATTATCCCGAAAGACCAAATAATTGTCCCAAAGGACCACATAGAACCCTCGACTCTTGGCATACCAACTATAACCCTAGCTCTCATATCATATAACATGGACATTATCATTTGCTCTTATCACATATTCATATAGTCACACAATCATCACATCACTTATATCATTTCACATGTAGTCACACTACTAGAAAAAACCCCTTTAATGAATCTCATTGCGCGTCATCTATGGGTGAAAATGACACACAAATATGCGTCGTTGAAGCCACCGACATAAATCTCATATGACACGCAATTGTGTGTCATAAATCTATGACATGTATTTATGACACACATTTATGACGCGCATTTAGCATCATTGAAGCCCCTGTCAAATGAAGATGACACACATTGTGTGTCATAAATTTATGACACGCATGTATGATTTACATTGCGTGTCATTGAAGCACGTCATTAGAAAAGATGACACACATTCGTGTGTCATGATTGTATGTCATAAATTATATATATATATATATATATATATATTGTAGATTGTCCATCTAGCTCAGTTGGTATAGCGCAAGGCTCTTAACCTTGTGGTCGTGGGATCGAGTCCCACTGAGGGCAATTCATAACGGAGGTCTTCCACGGAAGTTGCTCTCTACCTGGCGTTGGGAGCAGTCTACTACCCTACCTCCCCTTTATCCATTATATATGGGAATAGGGTCAACTTTATATTTTACAAAAGTAATTCATTTGCAACAATATATTCACATTAATTTATCAAAAATATTGTAATCATATGTTGATACAAAATATCACGGCATAATAAAGTTTGCCACATAAGATACCCATTCTTTGCGAATATCATCAATGTCATCATCCGTGTATTCTTCCTTCCCATTGCCAACCTAAGTGAAAATATGAAATAAGTATATGATTTATACTTATTTAAAGTGAAGTACATAACTATCAAAGAGTATTAAAATGACCAATTTTACATATGCATTCTTTGAAGCATATGTAAAAATAAATTTTACGCATTTAATTAGTAAAACTTCACATATAAATTATATCCATTAACACGGCACGAATTCATAGTTTTTAGTCTTGCTAACAAGTACTTGCATTAATTTGTTTAGAATAGCATCCTACTTCAAGTCCATATGATAGTTGTATGACTAATATTATGTATGATATGACAACAAAAAGCACCAAAATTGTACTGATTAATTTTTCTTCCAAAGAAAATTACTACTAAAATTACAACCAAATGAACCAACTTGGACCCCAGAGAGGAAAATATGAACATAAATAGTACCTTAGAAATCAAGAAACGAAAGGGTATTAAATGTTCTAAGCTTTCTTATTCATGGATTTCGATTTACAGTCTCCCGGCAAAATTCGTTCATATGAAAAACAATTAGGTAAAGTTGGCTCCAATTGCATGATTCATCATTTTTTTCCTCAAACCATGCATGAAAAGGCTTGAAAATCCTTCGCAGGTGCATATGAAAAAATGCGTTCATTTTTTTCCTCAAACCATTCATGTAAAAGCCAGAACAAAACAAAACAACACAATGTAAACTGGACAAGCTTACCTTATTCAACTTAGAAGGGAGCCTTAACTGATTCATTCCAAACATATGCACTTCGATTAGAGGCATATTCGACATCATCTTCTATTGAAAGTCTAATATATTCTCTATGTGCAAATCGGTCCAACTCTGTCAATGTAGGGTTCTCACGCTCCTGATTGTTTCGATACAAACAATGTTGTTATCTGAAACTTGCATCGAAGTATGATGATTTACAATTTCTGGTAATGGTAATATTAAAAGAGCTAACGTAACACATTTACCTGACGAATTAGGAATGTATCACGAGTCTCAAAGGCCATGAATTTGTTCATATTAAAAAGGATGTTGAAAACACTTCCAGAAAGTTTAGAGCCATTCAGATCAAGCAATGTGACATAGCTCTCATCCTGCAAATGTGGCATAGTTGAACATGTAAAACATTTTATCTACATTTGCAGTGTATACGAAGGAGCATTCAGTGAACACTCAAGACCTAAAATCCCAAACCAAGATATGGTAAAAGTAGTTCATTGTATAACTAGCTCATTAGATCACACTAAAAGATCTTATTATAAATCATCCATTAATTACCTACTTCAGGAGGAGCATGAGAGATTAAACTCAATTTTCCAGAAACCTACCTTTACACCAACAGAAATCTAAGTTTGAAATTACAAGCAGATCTTAGCACAAAATTAGTAAACAGCTGAAACTGTAATATGCAGTAATAAGATGATCGAGGCATACTACTATTTTATATTATACAAATCCATGTTAAGCTTCACAAGTCATTTAATGGGAGGGTGGATTACACAATTCACTCCATAGCCTGATAACTTATCGATCAACTGATTTACTTTACTTTCCATTGGTTGTAGTCGAAGCTGAACACCGACTTCACTAAATCTCTAGGGCTCTGACGGGGTAGGAGACATAGAAGGCTTAAAATCGGGATACTGAAGGACCATCCAAATGCATAACTTGGAAAAAGTTGAGCCTACCGGTCTCCGACATATCCCTATCCGACACTCACAACCAAGTAACATGCTTAAAACCATACCTCTGAAAAAGCCAAGAAGCCTAATCCAGTAGCAGCAGCAATCCCCAGTGTAACAGACAAGCCATCTGATCCGACCTACATATTATCACAAAATTATAGAAGAAAACGAAAGAAAAGGTAAGCAAGTAAAACTATCCAACAAAGAACATGAAATAGAACTACAAATTTGATTGTTTATACATTTTGTGTCTTGTTAGTTCATTTTTGCTGAAACATATGTAAAAATTTCCCAGTGCGATCAAGATTTAGGAATTGTATGAGGAAAAAAATGAAATGAAGATACATACCCCTAAGGCCCCACATAAAGTTTCTGTCAAGTTGCTAATATCAAGACCTTTCTTGGTGGTATCCATTGAAGACCACTATTCTGCAAATTTGCAATCAGTCTCATGATGCAATTGCTAAATTAAAGAACCAAAATGACAGAAACAAAAGTTATCTTAAAAAACAACATCAGACAAAATTTGCTAGATATATGAATGTAATAGAGCAATCTAACCTTGCAAATAATTGAAAAACATAGAAGTGGTTGATTGCGTTAACTGTTTGACCAACAGTAAACAACCTATATAATGGGCAAGAGCCCGGCATGTTAAGACAAATATTCTTTAAGCTGAAATGCATGACTTGGTTTAAGATAGTTTAGTTTCACTCTCAGTCGCAATATCCATAATATGTTTTCATATAAACCCTCTCATATGCTCGTTAAATTATCAATAATCAGTCCCAATTATAAAAATAAAATATACGATTACTCAGAATTAATCTAGAAAAAAGGATGAATTTTTAGAACTTGGTGCAAATTCATCATCTTAAACCTACACTTTAGAAAATGGAAGCATAGCCATTGAAACTAAAGACTACAATGAGAACTATGCTACCAATCTTTCTTACTAACGATAACTGACCAGCATGATAAACAAGAATGTGAATCCCTTTTTCTATGCACCTTATTCTTCCATCAAGAAGTGCAAATTTCAACACTAGTCCGTCAAAGAACAAGTTTATACTCTTGCTTTAGTAATATGTTATTTCCATTTTATTAATAGTTTTAAACATAGAATTATAAACAATCAAACATATTAGAGACAAAACTATTTAATGAACAAGAGTGAATTGCATTCTTAGAAATTCACATGAAAATAGATTCATTTACAGGACTTGCAAGTTCAAATCTTAGTGGTTCCAGCATTTACCATTAGAAGTTAGTTTGGAAGCAATTCATACAATATTCAAATACCTTGGATATTGTAAAAGGAGGGGTAATATCAAAAAGTGAAAAAGCACCCAAAAACAAAAATTAAAATGAGACAACAGCCGAAGGTATCAAACAGATAAAAAAGCAAACCATATCTTTCCTGAAACTCAGGTGTACTCTGTAAGAATTCTAAAAAACCCATTCATAAAATCTAAAAAACTCAATCGAAACTGGAATAAACCCCCAAATTGAATGGTGGAATAGAGAATGAGGAATACCTTTGAATCAGTAACAACCAAGTTAAATTCGTTTGTTTTTCCTGTGCAGAACTTGGGTAGCTTTCGAGAATATGAATCTCGTTTGAACCTACACTCGGCCAAGTAGAGTGTTGCAAAATGATACCTCTGATTTTATTGCTTGAAGCACAACATTTTTACATCCCAGTTCATGTTTAAGGGCTTTTAGCTGAAAAGAGAAAAAAACAGTCGAAGGTCAAGTCTAAAAAACATACAACAAAAAGGGCTGAGCGTGAACAAGTTCAAGAAACATAGATGTCCAGAATATATACCCTATCTTTCCCTTAATTAAGTTCCTGCAAAACCAATATAATACATCAACCTCATTAGAGTCATAATATCAGAAAAAGCCAAATACCTCCTATATTTACTAAATTGAGAAACAAACAATTAGAAGCAGTACTAATCTACCGATAACATCTGGTTGTTTGCTTGGGCAAGTTGCAAGTTCTGCTGCCGAAACTTTTCCAAATTGAACTCAAATTAGAACCAGTGGATTGATGCAAAGAGAAAAAAGGGGGAAGCAAGTGGCGTGAACTTTGTTATCGAGGGGGAAGAAGCGGGAAATGATGAAAATAATGGGGGAAAATTAAAATACGACTTTTACAAATGACACACAATTAAAACTGTACTCCGTGTTTTTTCAAATTTTTTGGATTATGACTATTAAATATGACACACATTATTGTATGTCATAAATCATTCAGATTTTAAAAAACATGACATTTTTATGACACACATTTTTTCCAAGTCATAAATTAGCGTGTGTCATCATTCGTGTGTCATTAAAGGTACATTTCTTGTAGTGTTACATGGGTCATATCTCATAGCATATATCACATGTCTCGTGTAATATTTTCATGTGTTCACTTAGATCATTGTCTTATAACATATATCACATAACATATAATGCTAGCAAGATGTATTAATACATACATTTAATCAAATAACTTATATCAAATGACTTATTATTTATTCTCTTATGATCACCTTTCAACTCATATAATTTACGCACTTACTCTTATACATATATTAGTATAACCCATGTATCAATACAATATCATTTATCTTACCGATTTTCATAATCATCTATATCATATAAAGTTTATACTATTTTCATATATTCACTTAATTTAGCTTCACATATTTTGTTACCTAACATGTATTCACATCTGGTTTCCTATATAATTACCATACAAATAATATTAAATGTTAGTATAATAACTTATGTCATTTTTCCTAGATTATATCTGATTCTCATTTTATTATCATATATATCAATGCTACTTAACTTATCTCAATCTTCATTTAATCACATAAGTCCATTATATTAGTTCACATAGATCTAATTCATATAACATATACCTTGTTATCATATTTTACCTAAATTGTTATCATACAATATAATATATGCCATATAGTACCCTTAAACTTAGAACATTTCATATGGTTCATGTTCACATGTCATATTTTCACATAAGTACTTAAGTCGATAACAAATAACTATGTAAATTCCTATTACATGGTTTACATATTGTTTTTATCTTTTCTCATAGTCATATAGACACCTAGATCCTCATTACCTAACTTATATTACATGTCCATACAATCATTGGTATTTATACCATATAGCTTATACCATTTCCTCTTGTGTTATCACTTAAATCATTGTTATCCACATAGTTCATGATCACACAACTTATATCACAGAGTTACATCATTACATAAATCATATCACATAGCAAATAACATAATAATACGTATTCACATACTAAAGCTACCAACTATACTTATTTTCATTGATTCATAATATCAAAACATGGAAATAGACTCATCGCAAGTCTAATTTCCATATTATCATATACTATAATCATATGCACTCACCTGAGCCTCACTAGTCAATACAAACACTTATGACTCTTGCACATTCTTGTATCGCCGAATCGTCTTGAACCTGTCTTCAATTGATATCTACACGAATATATGGCTTACATGAATATCAGAGTTCAAATTGCTTATAACCAATCAAATTAACATAAGATGAAAGAAACACTTTACTTAGCATTTTATACTCAATAGTATCGGTACTCCCTATAAAGTACTGATACTACTCTTCTATGGTATCGATACCCCTCCTCGGTACTGAAATTTAATAATGGTATCGATACTAGACACTTGGTATCGATACCCTCAATCAGTATCGATACCACCCTTTAGGTATCAATACTTCTTAAAGATTTTATCTTCTTATCATATGGTATCATTACTTTTCCTTCAGTATCGGTACTGGATGAGCAATACCAATACCCCATGCCCAGAAGTTACTTATTTTATCTGAAAATTTTCCAAAACTTACTGAATTTCCACTCTATTAACTTATTTCAATTAATCAAACTCAAACATATTTACTCAACCCATCTTATATAACTTTAACACCTCCAAACATCCAATATCTCATTAGAACACTTGAAACTAAAAACCTTACCAATTACTTAACATGTTCTTAATTCATTTCTATCACTTTGAATCTCTTATTTCAACTCATGACAAGTCAAATTCAACTTCAAAATCCATTTACTCTTTCTTTTTCAACAATTCACTCAAAAACTTATTTTACTTAATCTCTTATAATTTGTTCATCTTTTAGTTTTTACATATCTTTAAGATTCCTTAATCTTTCTTAATACCCAAAGAATCAAAACCAACCTTAAAATGAAAGGAATGATAACTAAGAAGTATACTAACCTTATGTAAAAACCCAGGATGGAGAGGGAGAAGAAAGCTGAAGAAGGCTCTGGATACTCTTTCTCTCATTTCCCACGTGTTTTATATCACTTAAAGATGGAAGATAAAACCCTTTCTTTTGAAAAGATCATAATACCCTTCCAATAATCCAACTTTGATATCAAGTACCAAACAAAATTTCTAAAATAGAACCTTGAACTTTTCAAGTTATTCTAAATAAACCACTAAATTTTAAATTCTTAAAATTTGGCCATTGGCCCTTTTTTTGGGATGTTACAAATCTCCCCTCCTTTAAGTAATTTCGTCCTCGAATTTTCACTGCACAAATAGATGAAGATATTGTCTACTTATATTCTATTCATATTCTCATGTTGCCTCCTCAATTTAATATTTCGTGATATAATTAATAAACTTGGCTTTCATTACTTCAATTCTTCAACTAACTTTTTCCTTATACATCCATATCATGACACTAATCATATAAACAGTAACATCAATGTTTATCACTCAAAATCATAAATCAATCAATTTCCTCATCAATCTAATTACCTTGCAATAATAATCAAACTTTTATTCCATCGTCATTTTAAAATAACACGTCTGTCCTTAACAACTTGATCAAAGCGAGTATAATCATTCGACTGTATCTTAAAATTCCTTAATACATATAAATCATTTTTTATCTCTCTGATTACATTTACTTAACAAAGAAACATAACCTTAAACCTTCATCATAGATGATTAAGACATACACTTTGCAAAATCAACCAATCTTTCATACCACCTGACGTACCATTCTTACTTCTAGTCAAACTTCTAATCTATACCTCAATATAATCCTTGTCATTCATGATCCTTTAAACTCCATCTTTTACTTTCCCCTATCAATTTGTTCATTCAAAAATCAAGACCTCCTTGTAACATAGGTTGCATCATTTCCTTATTGTTGATATACTCTTTTCATATCACTTATACTTATCTACGATTAACAATCTTTATCACATCTTCCTAACTTCGATAATCAACACTACTTGCACAAAGCCTTATTCTTGTGAAATCCTTATTCGAATTACCAAACACATATTTTGTTTATATAATTTCAAACTTTCTACCACATCTTTATCTTCCTTCAAATATATGAATCCTCATCTCTTTCATTACGTCACATTTACATTATCAAAATACACAATCATATCCAAATCCATGCCATACTTGGTTAGCTTAACCTAGCATCATTTTTTAATCCTTTAACTCTAACACACTTACTATCACATAATTTTGTTAGTCAGCACCGGTTCTTTTAATCTAAAGCCAAGCTCTCATCAAACCATTCATATACATTTTTTCTAGTCGAAATTAACTCAACAATATTTTAATTAATTTATCAAGCCCATATTCTTACTCATACACAACACAATTTCCTTGGTTCAAACTCAAACATTCCAACTTTCTTTTTTTTATAAACTGATCATCGATATACCAATTCTTATACTCTTCCCAAACAATATCCACATCACTCGATCTTTTAATATTCTTATGATAACATCTATCCACTCTACTCTATCTAGTCAATGTAGTAAAGGAACTACTCCATTTCAAAACGATGGAAATCCTCTAACACTGTTAGAATGTGTTTTCAATCTCCTAAAAATAATCCCCAACTTTTACAAAAGCAATCCCTGAGGTGTCCGCTCTTCATCTTGCCTGGCCAGGGTAGGTGAATTGCTACCACCATCAGGTCTATCACCTATCGCTTTTCTTCAGAAATTCTCATAACTAGACATCTCATATAACATAACAATTCTATTATATTAATAAGACATCATACTCCTTACACTATCATATCAAAAAAATTTCAATTTGTGTTCGCATGTATACATTTGAAAACTTATTTGACTTCAGTTTAGGCCAATAATAAGCTAAACCTTAGCTCTGATACCATTAAATGTAACACCCCCAACTGTACCCGACCAGGATACGAATTAGAGGTGTCACATTGAATTATCAAAATATTTGCTTTTACAAAAGAACTAAAATTCTAGTTCGTATTGAAAACAAAACTGAATAATTTACATTAATTACAATAATATGATTTTACAAAACCGATCAGAGCAAATCTTGTCCAAATTTTTATTTACATGCCAACTACTTCAATATAACAAAATACATACAATCCAATATTCTTTTCTGATCTGATCTTCGAAAAGGAGAAGTTGGCCTGTCTTAACCCTTTTTTCTCCTTAACCTTCTCAAAACCTACGTGTGAAACATTCACACGCTAGTCGATGACTTAGTGAGGCATATAACATATAATGAAAACTCTAAATACTTAATAATGCATAAATACTTCATACTCTTATATCACAAAAAACTATGGAATATTCATATAATCAAATGTAGGCATACCCATATCTCGTCATTATCATCATTAACCTAATTTCATATCATACAAAATCATGTACTATTTCTTGTAGCAAATACATACCTGCACATGTCTCTTCAATATAATCATAATCATTCACTTCTTATAATCATCAATATTATTATCCTTAATCCATCTTATTATCAAATTTTGTACTTAACATTTATACACATCATTTACTACATTTAACACAGCAAAACACATAATATCACACAAGGCTTCTTATGTTATATCTTTTATTTCCCCATGGTACAC